GTGACACCACCAACGAGCTGGGGACCGGCTTTGTAGTGCTGGGTATGTTGCGCCAACGCGTGATTTGTTGGCAGCCGATCAACGCGAGCATGTGCAAGTTGAGGATTAAGGGCCGTTTCTTCAACTACAGCATCATCAACGTGCATTGCCCACACGAAGGGAGATCCGAAGACGAGAAAGAAGCGTTCTATGCGCAGCTGGAGCAGGTGTACGACGGCTGTTCGCAACGGGACGACATAAACACTCAGGTAGGACGGGAGGCAATGTATAGACCGGCAATTCCAAAAGGAAGAAGCGTCAGCAGGAAGACCGAGATCGCGAGGCGAAGGAAAATCTGTACCGCGTAAACGACATACGGAAGTTCTACGAGAAGCTAAATAGTTCGCGAAAAGGCTACGTGCCGCAAGTCGATATGTGCAAGGATTTGGACGGTAACCTTCTCACGAACGAGTGTAAGGTGATTGAGAGGTGGAAGCAGTACTACGACGAGCACCTCAAGGGTGATGCAGCAGAAAACGAAGGTGGCACAAAAAAAAGACCTTGGAGCACGCGCAGAAGACGACAGGCTACCGATCCCTGATCTTCAAGAAGTTGAGGAGGAGATCGGTCGGCTGAAGAACATCAAAGCAACTGGTGTAGATCAACTACCAAGTGCGCTATTAAAATACGGTGGTGTAGCACTGGCAAGTGCGCTGCACTGCGTGATTGCCAAGATTCGGGAGAAGGTCGTTTACCCAATCTACAAAAAGGGCGACAAGTTGGATTGCTGCAACTACCGCGCGATCACACTGCTGAGCGCCGCCTACAAGGTACTCTTTTAAATTCTATGCCGCCGTCTGTCACCATATGCAAGAGAGTTCGTGGGGCAATACCAGGCGGGATTCATGGGTGCCCGCGCTACCACGGACCAAATTTTCGCGATTCGGCAGGTTCTGCGGAAATGCCGCGAATACAACGTGCCCACACATCATTAGTTCATCGATTTAAAATCTGCAAACGAAACAATCGATCAAGATCAGTTATGGCAGATTATACACGAGTACGGATTTCCGGATAAACTGACGCGATTGGTCAAGGCAACGATGGATCGATCGTTGTTTGCGTGTTGGGGATCGATGCGTTGTTTGCGTGTTGGGGACACTCTCGAGCCCCTTTGAATCTCGAAGGGGGTTACGGCAAGGTGATGAACTTTCGTGTCTGCTATTCAACATCGCGTTAGAAGGTGTGATCAGAAGAGCTGGGATAGACACGAGTGGCACGATCTTCCATCCAGCTTCTTGGCTTCGCCGATGACATTGACATTATGGCACGGAACTTTGAGACGATGGCGAAAAAGGAACATCAGACTGAAGGCTGAAGCTAGGTGGAATGGACTTGCCATCAACGCATCAAAGACAAAATACATGAAAGGAAGAGGTTCTAGGGAAGACAATGTTAGCCTCCCACCCCGAGTTGAGATTGACGGAGACGAAATCGAGGTGGTCGATGAGTTCGTGTATTTGGGCTCACTGGTGACCGCCGAAAATGATACCAGCAGAGAAATTCAAAGACGCATTATGGCAGGGAATCGTGCCTACTTTGGACTCCGGAGGACGATCCGGTCGACGCTGATTAGACCGGTGGACCTGGGATATGCTCGTGGAGGACCAACGCGCCCTTGGTGTTTGCGAATGGAAGGTGTTGCGTACCATCTACGGTGGAGTGCAGATGGATATCGGAACGTGGAGGAGGCGAATGAACCACTACGAGGCTGGCGAATCATGGATCGAGTAGAGTGGAGATGACTTCTTTGGACAGCAGAGGACAACAAGACCTTAGCCTAACTAGATCGTTAGAATGAAAGGGTGTAAGTGACTTTGATCGATTCTCTTCGTCGACTTTCTCTTTCGTTAATAATTCAGCTGCAAACACATTCATTGTGCCATTCTGGATGCTAGATGAGAACCTCCTTTCTCAAACAATGTGGCAGAAATAGCGCAAAATCTGTTTATAAAGCTGTGGCTATTAAAAGAGAAAGTCGATGAAGAGAATCGATCAGTCAACCCTTTCCTTATAACCCCCTCATATGTGGTTCCCTTATTTTTAATGTTATATGTAAAAATAATTCGAAAAAGTAAAAAAATCGTTCATATATTTTTGGTTTATTTATTTAATGTGGATTTCGAGTCTGAGTCGACCACACAGAAAAAAATTCTGAATTGTAATCATCGCGTAAAATTTCCCCTTCGTTTAATACTTGGCGTAAACAACGAAATTTTTTGCAAGCTTGTATACAACATTTATAATTTATGTTATATAACACTTAAATTTATATGAGAAATCATGTAAATTTACGCCGAACCTTAATGACGTGTGCGCTAGATATCACTGAAATTTACATGATTTTTTCGAACGGTGCAGTCGGTCTCAGAGTAAGAAGGAACTTCTAGATAAGAAGGTTCCCAACTAACATTTAAAGCTGAATGAAAGCTTCTTCTTCTTCTTTTTCGCATATCAAGCTTATTGCTTATCGCATATTAGCTTATGGCGTGCTCTCAACTTAGTGTTCTAAATGCACTTCCACAGTTATTATTTGAGAACTTTCGATGACAATACCAATGCATGAATTTGTACATTGTATGCCAAGCACAATGATACTCTATGCCGAGGGAAGTCGAGAAATTTTCCAGCCCGAAAGATTCCCTCAACCGGACCGGGAATCGAACCCGCCGCCTCTGGATTGGTAATACCATAGAGGTAACTCTAAGACCACTGGGTCCCGAAGAAAATCATTATTATTTTTGGCTCACTCAGTACCAGAACAACGGTCCCAAGCAGTTCCAAGCTATTTCACTCACCCCTGCATGTTCTGCATGAATCCACACACCCCTGATGTTATCTGTCAAACTTTCATAGCGAATCAAAACAAACATAGTGTAGTAATAGAATTTCAACTAGAATAGGGTACGTTAATCGTTTGCTTGGGACCAATAGGCTACTAAAGTGGTGAGGCAATTTAAAATCGTTAGTTTCGTATTGATTATTGGTAATACCATAGAGGTAACTCTAAGACTAGAAGGTCCCGAAGAAACGTGCTCAACTTTTTTGGCTCAGCTCTGGTACTCTCTTCGGTCCCAAGCTAATCAATGCACCCCTCGAAACATAGGAAAATCCACGAACCCCTCATTTTATCTGTCAAACTTTCATAGCGAATCAAAACAAACATAGTGTAGTACTAGAATTTCTACTAGAATGGGGTACGTTAATCGATTTGCTTGGGACCACTAGGCTAGTCAAGTAGTGAGCCAATTTAAAATAGTTAGTTTCCACCGGTTGGTAATACCATGCCTTTACTGACTAGGCGATGAGGCTTGTTCAGCCTAAAATAAGTAACGGTCAGTATGGGGCCCCAATTTCGCGACGTGCCCAAATTCCCACATTTGAGACGCCGATGAATTTAGAACGTTAAGAGATGTTTTCCTAATCCGGAATTAGATAATAGATCGATTGGTGCAAGTTTCATCCAGTTGGGCTCAATGATGCCCAATTTTACCCTAAATTTGTTATTTTTATGATTTTACCCGTCTAGCTACAATCGCCGCTGAATTTATTGACAAAAAAGGAAAGGCGTGATATGAGATTTTATGCCTCAGATAATCCCGGCGGTGCCGACTCGGATTGAACCCAGCCTTTTTGGGGTGAGAGATAATCACACTTACCCCTTAATATTACCATTGAAATTGCTTTGAGCATTATTCCACAAGCGGTGTTTTGCATTAAAATCACCAATAATGAAGAATTTAGACCTATGTAGGTAGCATTACTGCTCCTAAAATGGAATTTTTACAGAAATCATTATTCGACATGATTACTGATATGCGAAAAACTAACCCCATGTGTGATGCTATTCAAACTGGAGTTTAATTTGCGAACAATATCGTCATGACTTGTATTGTATTGTAAATCATTAATTATTTTTAATTGGAATGCACGATCTCTTAACGATAATGAAGACGAGCTATTTAACTTTTTGAGAGTTCATAACGTGCATATCGCCGTTATAACTTAAACGTTCCCTATAAGGTTAAAAGGGACGCAAATTATTTCATTTGAATGGGGACCAACTGGCATTTTTCATACAGGGGGGAATCTGCTCCCAAACACCTGAGAAGATAACTCAGGGTGTGGGGATGGGAGAAGTAGCGCTCCCGACCTACTAAACCTTACCCTGTGCTCTTGGCCTCTGTCCTCCCCGGAACCGCCCAAAAGCATGGGAGGGGGCCGGTTGCGCTATGGCGCATCACACTAGTGGTGTGTCACAGACGTGACACTCGCAACTGCACAGTGAGCAGCTGTGCAGGGCCTTCCTCTTATCGTTCGCTGTTAATTGTTCGCCTGAGTTCTAGAGCAGACGTGATAGCCAGCCAACTGTCCACGGCAGGACAGGACAGATGTGACCGCTTACCAGCTGCGTGTGCTGCGACTTGGTCAGAGTCGTCTACACTCTAAGAACCCGGTGTTATTCCTGCCTTTGCACAACGAGGGTTTGTGCAGGGCTTATCGACCTCCTGGGACGAGCTGGATGGGGCTCCAGCGTCCTTACTCTGCTGTAGCTCGTTTAGCCGCAATATCTCTCCCTTGGGTTCGATAATTAACGTTTCCAGGGAACACCACGAGGAGGCGAACTACTTCATGCCCCTGAACCAACTGGCCTAGAAGTGTCCATTCTATCAAGTGAATCAATTATACGTAAAACACCTTCCTCTAATCAGCATAATCTCGATCATACCACACGGCCAATGCCGGCAGTTAGCATTAGTATTGTTATTCTTATTTACTCTAAGTATTACCACGACGGTAGTTCCCCGGGAATACCCAGTCAACCGTTTCCCGAGAGAAGTGCAACATAAATGTAACCCTCTTGGTAAATATTCAATCTCGTAAAATCCATCTCTCTGTATATATTTAGCTCGCTCTCTGCGAATGGAATGACTGAATTATAAAGCCTCATCCAGTTCCCAGCATTTCGCTCAGTTCATTGGACAGCTCTGACCGGTTTGGTCGAGCACGCGATCGTAGTTTGTTCGAAGTAAATTATTAACTGCAGCAGTTATAGGATGATCGTATCACGCGGATTATCGCTTGTGTTGTTAGTTGTCGCCGTCGCAGCCGGTGTTGATGTCGAAACGGTCAATGATACGAGAGCCGGTTTTAGCGGTGGTGATTCAGTGAAACTTGTTCGAGAACGGAACAAATGCGGCCGATCGCCGACCACCGCCAGTGGGAGCATGATCCAGCGCGGTCGGAAGTTCTGCAGTGGCGAGCTCATCTTCGAGGACAACTTTGACTTTTTCGACTTTGAGATTTGGGAACACGAGAACACGCTGGCCGGTGGTGGGGTGAGACATGATTTTTTTGTTTGTTTTGAATTGAGTGGTTTGGTGTCGATTGAGTTAAGTCGCCAGATAGTGGAACGTAAACAGCAATTTGAACCAGGATGTGCGCACGGCTGGGATGATGTTTGTAATTGTGATTTTGATTGGAAAATATTTTGTACGACAAAGAATACCTATATTTTCTGCTAACTTATAGCACGATATAAAGGTACCAGACAAAATACTTGATATGAATGCTACACGCAAAACAAATTTCTCTTACATTCAATGTAAGGTTGAATTGATTACATCCTCTGCATGTGTTTCAGACAACAAATGTAATGGCAGTTCTTGCACTGAACTGCAAAGTTTTTTTTTTCCAGAATGAATATTTTTGTATGAAACCTTCTCGAGATGACGCAATTCATTTGGGAAACAAAGTTTGTTCGAAAAATAAGCTAACATAAAAATTACAAAATTAATTGAAAAGTCTTCTGGCGACCACATTACAGAACCTGTTAACGTCGCGAAACATTGTATATTCTGTATATTTTTCATGCAAATCTGTAATAAAATCGTACATTTCCCATTTGGGTGTATATATTGGACATTCTTTTTGTTAACTGCTATGGAATTAGCAGAAACCTACCGGGTGGGTCTGACTGGATCGAGACCATTGCCTTAGGGGGTGCTTAGATTGGATTAAAAAAAAAACCTGCCGAAAATTAAAATTCTTAATTCTTCAAAATCAGACCACACACAAAGCACACCTTTCCGCGAGGTTCTCAACACTTCCGCCTCAACCTGCGTACGCTGATGTACACTGGTTATCGTCATTCGACCATCGACAAAATAATCATTTGACCTACTGCATTTGGTTTCACTTACTATTATTTTTCTGTTTTTGTTATTTCAGAACTGGGAATTCCAGTGGTACACTAACAATCGTTCCAATTCGTTCGTTGATGATGGCATTCTATACATCCGGCCCACGCTCACAGCCCACGAGTATGGTGAACACTTTTTAACTTCTGGTACCATCAATCTGCGTGGAAATCGCCCCGTTGAACAGTGAGTTGTCGGCTCGTAATGTACAAACACTAGTAACGACATCTTATTCACCATTACTTGCCCATCTTTCAGATGTACCAACGCTGCCTTCTGGGGCTGCGAGCGAGTTGGTACGGAAACGCACGTTCTGAACCCGGTCAAGAGTGCCCGAATCCGTACGCTTCCGTCGTTCAACTTTAAGTACGGTCGAGCGGAGGTTCGAGCCAGGCTTCCCAGCGGCAATTGGTTGTGGCCCGCGATTTGGTTGCTACCGAAGCGGAATGCATACGGCACGTGGCCCGCATCCGGGGAGATGGATCTGATGGAATCCCGTGGAAATGAAAATCTGACGGTTGGTGAAACTCAGATCGGGACGCGTCAGGTCGGACAGACGCTACACTTTGGACCGAATCCATCGCACAATGGGTACAACACGGCCACACTGACGAAGAACGCTATGCCCGGAGTGGAGTACAGTAAGGGATTCAACACGTTTGGATTCGTGTGGTCTCCCGATAATATTACGGTCAGCATCAACGGAGAGGACCTGGCCACCATCGAGGGTGGGGATGGTTTCTGGCAGCGAGCTGGATTCGATAAGCTCAACATGGAGAACCCCTGGCGGTATGGAACCAAGATGGCACCGTTCGATCAGGAGTTTCACTTTATTCTGAATCTTGCGGTCGGTGGAGTTAATGGATATTTCCCGGATAATGGGGATAATCCTGGCGGTAAACCTTGGAAGAATAGTTCACCGCAAGCAGCTACCGATTTCTGGAATGGACGTGAAAGCTGGTTACCCACGTGGAATCTGGACAAGAATGATGGAAAGGATGCATCCCTTCAGGTGGATTATGTAAGGGTTTGGGCTTTGTGAGTGAAGTTCGGGATTAAAGTCGATTTGGCTGTAACACACATAAATATACTTAATTAAACAGTGAATGAATAAATTGGAAAATCATCTGTGGAAAATGGTTATCTTAATACCGGTCGTGGTCGTCAATCAGAATAACAATCCCATTTGCAATTTTCATCTCAGTAGCCATGACGCTTATTTTTGCTTTGGTTCTATCAGCGTTGCCAGATGGTTTTTCATGATATCGGTATTACTTTAATAAAAATATCGGTATTTATCGGTATATAGTAAAAAACAGGCTTTTGCATGAAATTTAGATTAAATGTAAATTGTTGGCGGTGAATTTTAGGTATTTTTGAAAATGTTATAGAAAGACACAAAAAATGTTTACTTTTCGCCCAGCAAAGGGCATTAGCTAAAGCTGGGTTTAGATTATTCAATTCAGCGTTCAACTCACTTGAACCTCTATGCTTGAACTTTGAAATGAGCATGAGCATGAGCATGATTTACCGCCCACGGTTACTACTCTGTTATTGCCAGACCAGCTGTAATTACACATAGAACCAATAGACGATGTTTGAGACTAGCAATCATCCTCAATGTGTAAAAACTGGTGATCTCGAATTAGGCAATACCAGCGCCAGCCGCATCTGAACGCAGGTCAAGAAAGGAATGGGTAGGAATGTGTTGACGTGACACTCGCTTTGATGGAAGCCAAGGAGTCCTCTGCACTTCCACGAGGAATCACAGGGATGTTGGGTAAGAGGGTTGGGTTAGCAGCAGGGTTCGTTTTGGTAAACGATAAGCTCAGTAAGCAAAAACGTTTGCCACTAGGCAGACGATCTCCTTTTTAATCATTGACGAATCTTGAATGTGGATGGGCTTGAGATTAGACTCATGATGTTCTGCTCAGTAAGCAAAAACGGTTGCTCTAAGGCCACCGAGCCTCTCATATCACATTATAGCGTTACTCAAGTTTTTATAACTATTCAAACCCGGCACCGAAAGTTTTACAAAATACACGATAAACAAGCGATCTTACCATGCATTTTTTAATATGAAAGGATCTGGGACCGCGTTTTTCTCCTCAGTAAGCAAGCCACTGCAACCGACGATCTTTGAAATCCTAAAACTAAAAGCTACGAAAGAGTACTTAGGCCTTCATTAAGATCCACTTTCACGCGACGTTCAATGTTTCGATTTTCTCTTTACGCATGGTTCAGACAATCATAACAAGCTATGACCGACGTAACGATTGTTTAAGACCTGGTTAAACAAGCTATTCAAATGAAATTACGTTCTCGAATTTCACTTGGAATGTAATGAACAACAAAAATACGCGATAATTCATATTTTCAGCGGTTGATGTTTAATTTTAAATATACTAACGGTACTGCCTACGACTACGATGCCGCCTGCGACAACGACAACAGAGAATTTGTAACTTACCATTTGTCTAGGATAAACACCTGGTACGCCCGGCACCTCCACTGGTTCTTCATGTCCGCTATCTGTCACTGTTTGCAAAATATCTAATAGCAATTACCTTTGTTGTGATACTTCCTGTATTGCCATGGTGATATGGGAGGAGGTTCGCATCTAGTGCTTTCCCCAGGAACCGTTCACGGCCACCAGCTACCGCCCGTCCAGACTTGGGCATATCCAGCGAGACATCCTTCAATTAACTATGCTTGAACTTTGAAATGAACGTCCATAAAACTGATCGATGTCGGACTTACTCTATACGATGTCAACTTAATTGAAGGCCTATTACCAGATCGCCTGAACAAACTCGGTTAACTAAATGAAAGCAGTAATATTAAAGTTTGCTGTTCGTATCGTAATGAAAACTTATTTTGGTTTCAATTTTCGCGGCATAAGTCTGATATCATATTTTGCTTTTAATATGCAGTCAAGAGTTTTTATAAGAAAGTAACAAAACTTCAAGTTGTTAGCTAAAAATAAATAAATACATCAATGATTTTTACATGAATGAATCAATCATACGTTTGATACGATACTTTATTTCAAAGGCTGCAATACAAAGTTTATCAGATTGCATGGTATGACTATTTACACGTTTCTCAAAAAGAAAAGAAGCACTCCTAGGGAATCTATTTTTCCTGCCTACCTGCTTGTGCCGAAGGGAACCCAACCACGTTTCAATGTGTTTTGTCGAAAATAAAATCCGTATGCCGAGTTTGGAATCAAGAAGCGGTGATGTATTTTAGATAATAGAAACAATTTGTGACTCTTTAACTCCAAATAGAGAAGTAAAACACGGGTTGTGCTTAGTATGTGTAATTTTCGTCTAGCCCGTGGTTTATCCACTCAGGGTCGGCTGGCTTGCTCGAGGAGGACTCAGAAACAAAGCGGAACAAAGACAAGTCATCCTTAGGCTCGGAAAATAGAAATAAAGTTACAAATAGGAATTTCACTTGTAAATTTTAAATTTTATTCCAACAAGATAGGGGAAATGAAGGTAATGTCGGCCTACATGTCCCTAATATGGGCCCATCGCTAAAAGTCTGCTATTTATCAATTTTATCTAGATGAATGCGTTATTGGGACGTTACTAATGGATATTTTTGGTTGCTATTGAAAACTTAGTTGATTGCTGAATTTATGTATGGGCCCAAATTAGGGACACTTAGGCCGACATTACCTGCATTTCCCCTACATAGGTTGGAGGGTGAGCTCGTTGCGGCCGTTGCTGCATCCGATGGGGCCCTTTGGTCCGTTGCATGCGAGGAGGAGGAGGAAGGGAAAACTCATACCTTTGTTGAATGCAGGTTACATGCCAAAACGTGGTCTCCGGGCAGTTTCTGGTTACCGCCTGTGACTACGCCCGATGCTTCTTCTGTCCGGGGTGATCTTGAGAGGGTTCGTCGTGTGCCCGCCGACGGGAAGTGAACTCATAGGTCAGGAGCCCAATAAGTGGGGGCGGACCCGCCGGACCTTAATGGGCCCTAACCTCCAAAACGTCCGTTCTAGCTTCCACGTCACGTGTGATCCAACGAAGTAGCGGTTGGGGCTCGTTGACCACCGGCACCGTAGGGTGTTGAGTAGGGGCTTACTTGTGGTCCGTCCTGGAATGATGTCCAACAGTAACCCTCCGAGTGACGTTCCAGGGGGGAATTCCGTGGATATTCCCCACACTAATCACCGAAGAGGGGTTCGAACACGCCGGACTTGCAGCGAATGATCTGGACCCGCCGATGTTGACGCCCCCGATCGGTACAGTCACACGATCGTAGTCTTCCACGCTGTATCCTCCAGGCTAGGGGCCGTAATAGTACCCCGGTATCGCACTTCACTGACTTCGTGGTTACTTAACCAAGGTTGACTCGTGACCTTCAACCAACCACTGTCACTTGAACCCGATAGCAGATATATTTTTTTTGAGCACTTCTGCTCGTTTCGACGGACCAAGCTCAACTGTCTCGATCTCTACAATTCATCTCCTCTCAACCTCCTAGATGCTTCACTCTTCGTCCTTTCCTCTCTCTCCTCCTCCGGAACTACAAAGACGCATTGTTTGCCATGGTGAGATGTGAGACGTCTCATCATTTATTCCCATGAAGCAGCATTCAAGAGTTTTTAGTACTTTTTTGTAGGGTAAATGGTTTAGTGCGGTCTTTGCCGTCTTTTTTTTTTATCGTTTACAGTAATAGCAATCTATTTTTTTTTATCTAGTTCGTTTATTTGGAAGGCTCAATCGCGTTAGCTTTACGGAGCCGATAATTCATTGTTCACTGTGTGTAACAAAATTCACTTAATTCTATGTCTAGTAGGAGTTGGGCCGATTACTCGCGGCTTACTCGAGGTTAGAAGGGTACATTTTCGAAGGATAGGATCAGGGGAGGAGCTTGGGGTAGGGTTTCGTTGTCTCATCAGAGCGTTGTCGCCAGTATGAACGGTAGTGCTGTTCTAGCTTCGTCCGGAGTTCGACCGGCTATGGTGGGTGACCAGTGGGCGACGATGAGACTCATCGAGACGGGGGGACAAGACAAACAAAAACTAATAAAGAGAGACAAAAGACAAAAGGAATTAAATTCTTATACTAGACATTTGAAGAAAAACATAAACGGACGGCATATAGCAGAGATCACGGGTTGCCAACACGTCTCTGATAGGAACATAGGGTTGTCTTCCTTGGGCCTCGAGGGTATTCAAAAGTCGCTCTCTGGCGGCGTCATTATCCGTACATTGCCAAACTGCGTGGTCGATGTCATCGTAACCGTTTCCACACTGACAGATGTTGCTGTCCACGAGGTTTATTCTATTGAGATGAGCATCTAGCGAGTAGTGGTTGGACATAAGTCTACTCATCACGCGAATGAAGTCACGACTTAAGCCCAAGCCTTTAAACCACGCTCTCGAAGAAACATTAGGAATAATTGAATGTAACCACCGTCCAAGATTTCCAGTGTCCCAATCGGTTTGCCAACTCGAAAAGGTACTCTGACGCACTAAATGGTAAAATTCATCGTGTGAAATTTGCCTGTCATACAATTCGCCTTCCTGCGCGCCCACCTTTGCGAGAGAGTCCGCCTTCTCATTGCCTGGGATTGAGCAATGTGAGGGGACCCATACAAAGGTAATCATATATGATCTTTCGACCAGCACACACATCTGCTCCCTTACCTTTGAAAGGAAATAAGATGAGTGCCTGCCTTGTTTCATCGACCGAATAGCCTCAATCGAACTGAGACTATCCGTGAAGATGAAGTAATGGTCTGCGGACATGTTGGAAATCATCCCCAATGCGAAGTTGATTGCTGCCAGCTCAGCAACAAAAACGGAACAAGGTTCCTGAAGTTTGCGGAAGGCGCTAGAGTTTTCATTGAAGACACCGAAGCCAGTGGATCCATTGAGACGTGACCCGTCTGTAAAATATCTTTTGACGCAATTGACGTGTTGGTACTTTTCAGTAAAAATACGCGGGATAATAATAGTTCGAAGTTGATCTGGAATCCCATGAATCACTTGTTTCATGTACAGATCATATTCAATTGAGGAACTGCGATTGGTGAAGTGAGCACGGTCTGGAGTATAACAAGGA